CTTTTCAAGCAAACTGTAAATGTACAAAATTTAAAGATAAAATCATAATGGGGCCAGACCGTTGATTAGCGTAAATCTGCTTACAATTGCTGACGTAAATGGGACATTGTTTTACATCAGCTGAGAATGCTGCTAGTGAAATTAAAAGAAAATAAAGGGTTTAGGGGGCTAGTGATGCTGGTTTCTTAATGTAAACACAAACTTTCACCCAAGACCACATTGTTGTTAATATGTAACTCTGCAGTGCCAGAGGGGTCAGGCTATTCCAGACACTGTGACATTGTGGTACCCCCTACAAACAAAATAGGAGCACAACCATGTACTCTTTAATTAAATCCTGGATCAGATCTTCCACTGGGGTGGTTTGGCATAACTGTGTGTACTTCAAAAGAACTAGATTGATTCATAGTGGCCGAGTGCTTGGTCTGTTATAAATGGATACTTCTGTATATTGAAATTCTAATAATTTATATTAATAATTTATAATTATTATCATAATTTAACATTGGTCAGACAGGAGTTCTAAACTCTAGGAGGTAGTAACTTGAAGACTGTTCCAAAAAAACCAAAAAAGAGAACAGCACAGTCAGATTTATTAGAAGAATGGTGTATAGGGTAGGGTGGTGGTTTTTTTTTTTATTTGTTTTTTGGGCTGGTTTTTTTTTTTTCCGTTTGTTTTTTTTTTTAAATCACAATGCAGTGTAGATCTAGCCAAAGTGTTTTTTAAAAAGGTGGCTTCAGAGTTAGCTAGGATTGCTTGTGCTGTGTTTTTGAGCTGCTGTACTCGGAGAGCTTGATACACTATGCAGTAGCCAGAATATACTATAAGAGTTATCTCTTGTGCATTATGGAATACTATATTATACTGTATTGTAGTTGCTTGGATGTCTGCATGCTTGCCAGCTTCAAAATTAAAGGTGTTGTACACAGCTCATTTGCAGCACCGCTGTGCAGGAACTTCTCTCTGTTTGATTTTTAAATTGTCTTATAATTTTTATATATATATATATATATATATATATATTTTCTTCTTTCCTCTCTCTCATTTGCACCATCAGAGTTTCCCTGTGTCCTGGATGAATATAGTTTATCTTTCTTTTGGCCTCTGACGCAGATCAGGTGTAAAATATGCCTTCAGGAGGCAAGAAGTCCCAAAGACTTTGGTTATCCCTCTTCTTCCAGCCAAACAACGAAAGCCTAAACATCTGCCTGAGAGCATGTGGACTCCAAGAGAAGATGCAGTACTCTTGCCCCCACTGTCAGGTGTGGCAAAGACTCTTCAGAGGGTTCTGTGCCATCTTGGGTCAGTGCCTGCTTAATTCAGTCTGGCCTACTCTCTTCTACACTCCCAGAAGCTGAGGTCTTGTTCTATGCACTCTGCTTAACACCAGTGTGTGTTTTAATAGTGTAATAATCATCTTAGTGTTTCCGTGCATTGATTTTTGTGGTGTTACGTTAACAGAGATAATATTGCACTAAGGAATAGTATAGGGGGTACATTTGATTTAAACATGCATAGTGATACTCTCTTCTACACTCCCAGAAGCTGAGGTCTTGTTCTATGCACTCTGCTTAACACCAGTGTGTGTTTTAATAGTGTAATAATCATCTTAGTGTTTCCGTGCATTGATTTTTGTGGTGTTACGTTAACAGAGATAATATTGCACTAAGGAATAGTATAGGGGGTACATTTGATTTAAACATGCATAGCGAAACTAACACCAGTGTGTGTTTTAATAGTGTAATAATCATCTTAGTGTTTCCGTGCATTGATTTTTGTGGTGTTACGTTAACAGAGATAATATTGCACTAAGGAATAGTATAGGGGGTACATTTGATTTAAACATGCATAGCGAAACAACGCAAGATTGTATTTTGTTCTGGTTTAGGTCATGTTTAGGTAGAAAAGACAGATATTAAGTCTCTGTCCAAGCTGGTCCCATCTTACAGTCCCTTGCAGTTTGCTTGTTTAAGAACAGGGCTGACTTGTTAAGCCACAGAAGGCTGCCAGAAATATTAATGACTCTTTGAGAGAGAGTAACCCAAAAGCCAGACTCGCAAGCTGATGCCACAGCATCTATTATTGGCAGAAATACAATCCTTCGAATAGTAAATGAGCTCTTAACATCTGTTGGGTTGCTTGTTTTCTCGGAGGCCTGGTGATTGGGCTGCACGCAATAACATGATGGCCTTCTGAGGAGCATACATCAAAATTAATGGTTTCATCAGCTTGCAAGAACAACGAAATAATTGGGCACACCTGGGACTGTCCTGAAGGGCTCCTTTATGCTTAGTCCAAAAGCCAGACTTGCAAGCTGATGCCACAGCATCTATTATTGGCAGAAATACAATCCTTCGAATAGTAAATGAGCTCTTAACATCTGTTGGGTTGCTTGTTTTCTCGGAGGCCTGGTGATTGGGCTGCACGCAATAACATGATGGCCTTCTGAGGAGCATACATCAAAATTAATGGTTTCATCAGCTTGTAAGAACAACTAAATAATTGGGCACACCTGGGACTGCTTAGCGAATGCTTTCTAGCTCGTTCCTGTAAAGTGTGGATCACTGAAATCTGAGTGTTGCAGATTGGGTCAGAGAACTTCAATGGACTGTTTGGAGCATGTGGGAGCTCAAGTGTGGGTATCAGCAGCGTAAGTGAGCATCGGGAATAGATGAGGAATCAACTTTCAGAAAAAGAGATATAAGGCTTTACTAGTTATATATTGAATATAGGGGATTAGCCTGGCAATTTAGCAGCTATGCAGAAAGGTGTGAAGTTAAGTCATTCCCCTTTTGGATGCCACTTTTGTTTAGAGCCTAAATAGGACCTGATGCTGTAGAAGTAAGTCAGTATTGCCTCACCCTTCAGTAGCATACTCTTTAAAAGGTTACCTTGTTTTTTCTGTATTCTGAAACTCTCTATTAGACTGCTTACATTGGGCAAATAACCCTCGATGGCTGACAGCAGCAATATTAGACTGCTTACATTGGGCAAATAACCCTTGATGGCTGACAGCAAGAAATTTTTTCAGATGTTGCAGTTTAAGGTGTGTTTTCACGTTCTTCCTAGAGACTCAGTAAATTTTCATCTCCAATTTTGGTGACATAAACGACCAACTAAGCTCTAAAAAATGTGCTTTAAATGTTTCTACAAGAATGGCTGAGCTCCTAAACTATTTGGCAGCCTCCAAAAATTTCTTTGCCTCCCTTAATGAGCCATACGATAACAACCTCTTACTCTCTTTCCGCTGAGCTCCTAAACTATTTGGCAGCCTCCAATAATTTCTTTGCCTCCCGTAATGAGCCATACAATAACAACCTCTTACTCTCTTTCCAAGCTTGTAGTAGTAGGTGTGAATCTTCCACCTGGTTCAGAATATATTGGAATTAACAGCAAGTCTGCGAATTTCAATTACCTTAGGCATTAAGGCATAGCTTATGTGCAGTCTACTACAAAATTTCTCATTGTATGAGGCCAAGACAAACATGTATCTATGAAATTGATCTTAAGGAGTAAATACACTGCCTAGTAAATTGCTTGCGTAAAGGGAAGGTCCCCAGCGATTCCAGGAGCCCGCTTCCTAGTCTGGTCCACAAGCACACGAGCTTGTAGTAGTAGGTGTGAATCTTCCACCTGGTTCAGAATATATTGGAATTAACAGCAAGTCTGCGAATTTCAATTACCTTAGGCATTAAGGCATAGCTTATGTGCAGTCTACTACAAAATTTCTCATTGTATGAGGCCAAGACAAACATGTATCTATGAAATTGATCTTAAGGAGTAAATACACTGCCTAGTAAATTGCTTGCGTAAAGGGAAGGTCCCCAGCGATTCCAGGAGCCCGCTTCCTAGTCTGGTCCACAAGCACAATGTGGCAGTAACATCTTTCTTGCTGTCTCTCCTCCTCTAGAAGTCTCTGGGCAAAATATCCCTTTGCACTGAGCTTCAGCTCACCATGAAATGAAAGATTGGGAGGGCTGCACTGCTCTCCAGGGCCCTTCAGAAAAGCAAACAAGACAAACATGTATCTATTAAATTGATCTTAAGGAGTAAATACACTGCCTAGTAAATTGCTTGCGTAAAGGGAAAGTCCCCAGTGATTCCAGGAGCCTGCTTCCTAGTCTGGTCCACAAGTACCATGTGGCAGTAACATCTTTCTTGCTGTCTCTCCTCCTCTAGAAATCTCTGGGCAAAATATCCCTTTGCACTGAGCTTCAGCTCACCATGAAATGAAAGATTGGGAGGGCTGCACTGCTCTCGAGGGCCCTTCAGAAAAGCAAAAATCTGAAGTGAGTTGAACTCAGAATAGAAACGCTTCTTTTTTAACAGATACCAAGAACAGATTTTGTTCAACAGATTTACCTGTTGTTGTCTTTCACTTGAAGTGATTGTGCATCAAGGAATGCCTTTGTTTTGTTGGTTGCTTTTTCCCCTAAGAGAGCTATCTCAGCTCCAGGATTTATGTGCTTGGTGCAGAATTTGTTGTGTGAGGTTCCTCGGGTTATGTTTGCGGTCGAATTTGATTATTTTAACAATAATTTATAGCCATTTAGAATATTTAGTAGGTTGAGCACCTCTCTCGCTTTTTTTAGTATATACAAGAGAAAGATCTGGAGAGCAGTCCTCTCCTCACAGCACTAAATGAATTTGTGTGAAAATCCAAGTAAAACTTAAAGCACTGGAGCCCACACCATTTTCCATAAATTAAATGAGAACTATTACTTCAGTATAGCACAGAATGTGATAAAGCTGCAACACATCACATCATTAGACTGCTTTACATAGTGACTGGAGCATTGCCAGTTTAAATAAAATTTGTACATCTATTTGAAAGCATGTCTCAGTGCATGCCATCTATTTAAGCTTTTATGGTCTTTTTTTTAGAAATACAGCCGACTTGTTAATGCAGGTACTATGACTTCTGAATGTTTGTTTGGGTTTGACACCTTATTTTGATTTGCTAGTTCTGGAAAATTTTTAATTCTTTTTGTCCTTGCAGGTCAAGCCAGTTACTCACAGTAGGATCACTGTGTCAGCTCGATTTCGAAAACCACTCCAGGAGCCCTACACTATTTTGTAAGTAGAATTTTCAGTTAGTGAACTGCCATTTTAGGGGGGGGTGTCTTAACTTCAGATGAGTTTTGTTTAAAATGCACCTCCAAATTATTTTACTTTGCTTTGTTTCAGCCTGATTGCTAATGGAGACCTTATTAGCCCTGTAACGCGCCTCCTTATTCCCAGGAAGACACTGAATCACTGGGATCACATTCTCGAAATGGTTACAGGAAAAGTTACCCTCAGAAGTGGAGCTGTTCACAGGTATCAAGAAGATGAATGTTTGCAAGATACATTTGATATATGTAGATATGTTTTTAAAACTCCATAAGTAGATGTAGTGGATCATTCCTGCCTCATGGGAAATTTCACTATAAGAAAATACTTTACACAAAATGGAAATACATTGACTCCAAGTAACCTTCAGATTTCATTTCAACTGTTATCTAAAAAAAGAAAAGCCCCAATTTGTTTCAACTGTATTTCTTGATTAAATATTTGGTTAGCAGGCATGTAATAATATAATAATAATGCAATATAGTTAGTATTAATAATTAAGTTCATGTCAATATAATAAAATAAAACAACTTCACCAGTAAAGTTGGTGATGATGTTTGGAATGTTCAATAATAGATGTGATCCACACATTACCTTTTAATTTTGATAGTTCTGAAAATTCATTGCAGCAAGCAATTTCAAGGAAAATATTATAGATTCTCTGGTTTTTGAAGACCTGTGCTGTGACTAAAATGGACTTTATACTCAGCCAGGTCAGCCTCCTAGTAAGAGCCAGGGCCAAAGTTGTAGATGGGGTTTGTCAGTTCCAGTATCTCAGCTGGTCTGAGGAATTGTGGTATAGGAATAGGAGATGACCTTTCGGATCAGTAAGTTTCAGTCCCTTAAGGCTTTTACGATGTAAAATAAGCCCTTTAAAATAGTTGTTGCAAGTTTTAGAGCAAAATGATAGTTGTAGTTTCCATGAGAAGCATTGCAGTGTAAGCAGGCTCCCAAGGTGTGTACTGTGAAATTGCTGGCATTCCAGTGTGGCCCCACGCAGAGCACATTACAGAAAGCCCTTCCTCGGATTGGAAGGGGCCTTTTGTGGAAAATCATTCTTCCCAGCTTATGGAATGTCTGAGGCTAAGCTTGCAAAATCTTTCTCAAATCAGTGAAGATAAAATAGTCTGTCAGTTCTTCTGATTGCTTTCCCAGAGCTGATACAGACGATAAAAGATTAGGGGAATTCTGTCTGTTGACTGTAGCTCCCATCTTATTTTTTCCTCTCAGCTTTGCATTTCTTTGTTCCTGTTATCTGGCTACTCACCACTTCTTGCAGTAAAGTAGACCTACACAAGGGTTGCAGTTTTCTGGATATGTTTCTCAGCTACTATAACTCAGAAGGGGGCAAAGTAACAGCTGTTTACAACGTGCCAATTCTTTCTGATCTCAGGTTGTTTAGCAATTTAAAAACCTTTCACATTTTATTCTTATTACTTGGTGTCAGTCCTTGGTGAAACTGAGTGATGTACAGGAAAGCATAAATCATTCCATACGTAGCTAGGATTGCTTTTGAGAAATCAGTGCTCAGTTTTAATCCTTTCAAAAATGAGATAATGTACATGACATTTTGAATTATTTAATGTTTTCCTTTTTCTGGTTTTCTATTAACCCAGTTTTCATTTTCTTTTCTTTAAAATGCCAGGAATACATATTAAATCCGTTGGTAAAGTGATCGTTGTTCCTTAATAAGTTACACATTAATTGCTGGGTTTTACTGAAAGTATGTTGGCATTGGGGGCGGTCCTATAAGACCACTGATGCTGGGAAGATAGAATTTCTCATTAAAGAAGGATAAGTGGAATTACGAGAACCTGCATTATGGATATGGGAGTTTTTCTTTTCCATGTAATTAAAAGACTTACAAAGCTGCCAAGTCTTTAGCAGTTTCACGTGTGGTTTTTTGAAAACCATTTATTGATCGTACCCATCAAAACAGGGATGTAAGTATGAAATATGAGAGAGGACACAATGAGAAAGAAGCTTTTCTGCTTGCCAGATTGTACATGGGGATGGGGTACAGCAACGTGATGGTGAGGTACCTGGTGCATTGGCAACAGGGAACATGGAGATGTTGGTCCCACAAGTTGTGTCTTTGCTGTCTCCTCTGTCAGCCTGTATGTTTGCTTTGCTTTGGCTGCACTTTTTGGCTTGGATTCAGGAGGGAAAATGGAAATCCACTGACATTCCACAGGACAAGCTCTAGGTCATCACCCAGTGACCAGACGAAGTGACCACAAGGACATCTTTATTGCATAATACTAGCCAGAGACAACCCAGCTGGTCTTTGAATGGTTGTGGCCAGGTGGGTGGGGGAAAGGCTTCAGAAGTAAGCATCACAAAACTTGTGTGATGCTTAAGTGAATATTTATTTACTTTAAGCTCCGTTTTTTTAAAATGAATTTTTAATTTCACTTTCATCTAGAGTGACTGATTATGTCTGATTCACCTTGAAAATAAGAATGATAATAACTGAAAAATACAACTAGAGACTGCCAGATATTTGTCCATAACATTTTCAGGAGTTCATACGTACAGGACCATGTATATGAACTTAAGAAGCAGCTTTGTCTGTATTAAACTGAAAATTTTTGCACTTTATAAGTCAGGCTCTTGATATTCTTCCTAAAAGGTTCATTGTATAGCTATATATAAAAATTTATATCTCTTTACATTGTCTTGAAATTTATGAATAACACATATAGAAGCTCCTGTAGAAGGCTTCTGGAGAGGCAATTAAGATGGCCATTCAACATTCCTGCATTTAAGACTTAAATGCAAAACCATTAATATTGACTTTTTAATTAAATATAAATATTGGTGAGTTTTGGAATATGCTTAATAGGAAAGAGCTTATTTATTATTGAATGTTTTCTCCTTCTTCATTGTTTTGACCATCCTTAAACAAAATCACAAACCTGACAGTGTAGTAATTGGGATAGCATAGAAATAACGTGTTGACCTCCCCTGCTCCACCCAGCCCAGTACGTTTTGCATTTCTTCTTTCTCAATAAAGTGTACAAACAGAAATTATTGTGGTAAAAATCTACCTGGTGTAACAGACATCATAATTATTAGTATTGTAGGTGCCTAAGATACACAGCTTCTTGTAATAATGTATTATTGTATTTCCTGCTCCTTCCAGCCTTACCCCACCACGTACAGCCACGTTCCAACCTTCTGATCTACACAATATGATAACATCAATATGATATTATTAACTTGGTCTGCATTAGGTGGACAGGTTCTGGGTTTTCAGTCGTGGGGCCATGAATGCCCACTTCTTCCCAGATTTCTCCATAGTGCCTAGAGCACAAATGGGAGGTGGAACTTGGTATGAGGGAGGTCAGGAACTCATGGAATAGATCCCTTCCATGGTATCAGGGAAAGGCAGTAAAGACCTTCTAAGTACAAAGTAATTTATTTCATTTTAGAAATTATGAGAGTATTTAATCTGTCATAGCACTTCATACTTTATTAGTTTCATATAAACTGTGATTTAGGTCATTATTTTGCTGTCTTTCCTTGTCTTTTGTTTTTTATGAAGCACCTGATCATTGTATGACGCACACTGTACTTTACTTGGTTTCATATATGGAAATTCAGCATGATTTAGTGAGTTTAGATTAACATAGCTTTCAACACTCTTCATACACTTAACATTAAGGTTTATTATATGAAGCATTTTCATATTTTTCAGACTTTACACGTTAGATGGAAAACTTGTTCAGAATGGGTCAGACTTGGAGAACGGGCAAATTTATGTTGCAGTGGGTAGAGAAAAGTTTAAGAAGTTGCCCTACGGTGATCTGCTATTTAGCAAATCTACAATGAGAAAGCCACAGGGGTAAGTTCTGTAGGTGTGTGATATACTTCTCTCGTGCATGTGTGTTTTGATTTATTTACAAATTACCACCAGTGAAGTACAAAATCATCATTTCAAGCATGAGGAATGGGTGGATTAGTATGGATGCAAAACTTTATTGACGTTTCTGAGAAAGTTGAGATGACAAAAACAAAGAGAAAATGGACATTCAGCAGATGGTTTCACCTTGTAAACATGTCATTGATCATGTATCACAAAATTAATGTCAGAAAAAGGATTATTTTGACTTGGCTTAATTTGTTTGGTTTTGTTTGGTTGGCTTTTTTTTCCCCCTGGGATACAATGAATGGGACACAACTGAATGAGACTAGGTGCAGCCACACCAGTCTAGTTCTACTCTTGCTTAATAGAGTTTTGTGGAATCTGTGGTCATTTAAGAATGCTTTATGTTTGGGGCTATTTTTTATAGGCTTGAATCATCATATAATAAAGTCCTAAACTTGGTGTCTGTAAGGAGAATCTTGAGCTTTTTGTATCTTTGGAAAACATGAAAATTTGGAGCCATTTCATTGAAATAAATGCAAAGAAATGGAAATTTGTCCCACAAACTGGTGTAATTTAGAGAATTTTTCCTATATTCTGCATATAAATGGAGGTGTAATTTTTATATTTTTATTTTTATTTTTATTTTTATTTTTATTTTTTTTTAATGAGCGACTATAGACAATGTGAATAACTTGAAAGTGTTTTGGGAAGCAGCATTTGCAACAAATGAATTTAAGGATGGCGAAAAGCTGTGTTTTTCTATTGATGTAAACAGTTTTATTGAAATTGCTGGAACTTTTCATTAGATTAGTTGTAAGGATCTGTCACACAGTAATTCACTGAATACTGCTCTGCTAATTTTCTCTATATAGGTATGCATTGTGGGGAAATGTAAAGCATTTGTTTGAATAAGTTAATGATTATACGTTGAAATATAGTCTAGTAAAAAGAAATGTGTGATTGTTAGTAAAAATGTGCCATGAATGTAACGATTGACTCTGTTGCTGTAGGCAACTTGGTGTTACATGACTTAGTTATAGTTATGTAGTGTCTCTGATAGTGACAGTGACACAATTCTAATATATGACTTATTTCTGCAGTTCCAAAGCCTCTGTACTACCTCCGATTGTGGGATCTCGAAAATCTAAAGGCAGTGTAAGTATCAAGTGCCATAATGAAGTTTGTTTCTAATTTTGCTTAATTCCAGCAGATGGAAAGTCCCTGTCCTTTGGGTTTTAATTAAATCTGAAGAGAAAAAATACACACCCACCTGGTGGTGTGCTTATTAAAGCTTGATGAATCTGTAGCTATTTGCAGTGTCAATTAGACAAAAGAGATCTGAGAAAATATTATTGCAATAATGGCTGCTTGGTTTTTTATAAAACCTTCCATAGCAAAGATAACTGCTGCCTTGGGGTCTTTTGCTTAAACCTTGTCAGCTATCTTGGTGTATTTATTCAAATTCTGCACCTGAAGGAAAAACACAGAACCTTTTACAAAATGTCTTGCATAAAATGGTGTTTCTTCATGCTGGGTCTGAATAAGGCTCTAACACACTTTCCTGTCTGATGTGTTTTGTCCTAGCTAGCAATTAAATACAGAGCTTAAGGCTCCACTGCTTTGAATCCTATATAGCTATTTAGATGTGTACAATATGAGTTCACTGTGGATTTAAAACAGTGTCAAATCAGAATATAAGTATCTGTTTGTGCTGATTCTGTAGAAGTGAAGTTGACTATGTAAGTACAAGACAGTGGAGAGTCAGACTCCCAGTCTGTCTTTATAATTGTGGTAGTTGATCATGTCCATTCACTGTTTACAAAACAAAAAACCCTGGAGCCACTAAACCAAATAAGCAATAAAACATACAAGTCTGTTCCATTCTGTTGAAATTCAGTGGAAGATAAAACCTCAGTAAAGAACATACTTTCAAGTGGTGTTTGTTTTTTGAAACCTGCGAGAACATACTTTCAAGTGGTGTTTGTTTTTTTAAAACCCGCTCTTTGCAGTTCTATCATTTGTAAATATAACTCATTAACAGTTTTAACTTCTTGCCTTTTCTACTATTACTTAACAACATGTACAGAAAATTATTTGAAGTTCATTTTTATTCCATTGGGATTGTAATGCACTGGGAACAAGTATCACATCTTAAAGAGGCAGGAATATGTACTACTGCTTTTAAAGATCTATTGCAACACTTGAATGGGTATAAATCATACAATTGTTTGCTTCAATTTGATATCTACACTTTTTAACCATTATTGCTTGGGAATAACAGTCTCCAGTTTGAAGCAGAAGAAACTGAAATGTTGCCGTGGTTGCCTTTCTCTTTATAGAGAAAGGATTAGTGGTAGATTTGAGAGCATTGGTAGATAAATGGTAGATTACATCGTAAAAGATAGATGGTATTTAAGTAAGATATTTTAAACAGAACTGATTTCTATTGGTTATATGAAAACTAGAAGAATCACATAAAAATGTAATAACATACACAAGTTTTTTTAAAGAGATGTGGGATTTTGTTCAGGAGTTATTTTTCTGAAAGTTTTTAATTTTATCCAGTATTACCTTTTAACTTTAGCAGTGAGGTGAAGAGAATTGTCCATGACCGTTGCAGAATGAAAGGCCTTTCTGGTGGGCAAGTTCTAAAATGGCATGAATTGTCATGCCACTACACTAATGAAGTAGAATATATTCATCCTCTGTGTTTCAGCTAGGACTGTGATAAGGTGAACAGTTGCAGATACTGATAAGGTTTTCTGCCCTATCTGCAAGAGTGTTTTGTTGTTATATGGAGTGTTTTGACAGAACTGGATTAGGAAGAAACTACATGTGCTGTTAGACCAGCAAAAGTAGGAGGCTGACAGCCCCTAATGAGAGGCAACGATGAGGGTGTTCAGTTGGTAAAGCCTTTAAGCAGCCTAGAACAATATCAACAGCACCATAAAGGGTGCTATATACAGCTCAGGTTTTTATGATGTTGATTGTGAACAGATTTAGACTGAAAAAAATGTGTATAAATAATAAAATCTCTGGCTAGTACACTCAGGATCGTACATAAATGAAAGCTGTAGAAATAAGGACGAGGCTTCTGGTTCTGTTTCTAGAAACACCACAGAGCAACCAGAGGAAGTGGTTGATGTCCTTGGAGGTGATTCAGAGGTGATGTGTGGGCAGACCCCTTTCTTAGTGTCCACTTGGCAGTCACAGTGTTACTGCCACGTGAAGGCTGTTACCCTCTTCCAGCTGCTTTTGACACTTAGATTAACACCCATGTCTCATTTACGCAGGCAATCAATTATTCACAAGTTATATACATTACATCTTAGGACTTTCCATACGTATGTATAGATGAGATATAGCTGTATATCATATGTATGCATGTATAGATTCATCTAGCCATTCTTTTCATCAAATGAAAAATTATTTTCTTATAATAAATATGTTATTTTCTTCTGGGAGTTGTTAAGGACCATTTAATTAGTTAACACCCATGTCTCATTTACGCAGGCAATGAATTATTCACAAGTTATATGTGTTACATCTTAGGACTTTCCACATATATGTATAGATGAGATATAGCTGTATATCATATGTATGCATGTATAGATTCATCTAGCCATTCTTTTCATCAAATGAAAAATTATTTTCTTATAATAAATATGTTATTTTCTTCTGGGAGTTGTTAAGGACCATTTAATTAGTCAGATCATATAGTAAGTTGATGAGATAGTTCCAGTTTTCTGGATACTTCAAGGCAACACTTAACTGTACTGATTGCAAACTAATATGCTTCTTTACCTCCTGATACCAATCCTTAGTATTAAAAAGTTGAAATAATATTGAAATTTAAAAAAAAAATAATTGTCATTTTTGTCAGTGCTAATTGCGTACACTTCTTTTCAGGGAAATGATCGGCAATCTAAATCTACCGTTGGATCCAGTGACCCAGGAGAAAATAGTTCCTCACCTCAGCTTCCCAAAGGGAAAGACAAAAAAAGCCAGAATCCAGAAGATTCTGTGTCCAGACGACACTTTTCAAACAACTCTACGAAAGTAAAACAGACAGTAAAAGTAACAGCAGCTTCCACAGGAGTCCTTCAAGATAATGGTCAGTGCATACTGTAGCCAGTGGCTTTTGATCATCAGGTAAAACAGTGAAATAGTGGAATAATATGCTTGTATAATTCTTGAATTTCCATTTACTCTGGCTAACTGAATTTACAGAAGTTCTTTCTGCTTGGGAAATGTACCTGTGCATAAACACTACGTTCCTGGCTTCGTTTACAAACTATGGAAGGCTGTATATAATTATAATACATGCTGGAAGTTAAACTAATATAGTCATATCTTTATGCTTTTGAAAAAAGCATAATAGAAAACATATCTTTACCATTTTCCCACTATTCTGCCCTGAAAAAAAGTGCAGAAAAGGATCTGGACTGCTCAGAGGACACCTTGCTGTCCCTAATGATCCCTGCCCAGTTCTGTATAACACAATCACTAGACCCTGGGGGAATAACACAAACACAAACTCCAGTTAGCCAATAGGTGCTGACACTAATCATATAGCCCAGCTGCTGGAAACAATTTCAGAATTTCTCCCTCACTATACTGTGTCAGCGATTTAGAAATTTTGTCATAAACATCCTCTTTAAGGTTTCTTAACCTATGGTACGACATTCCCCTACTCCTCTTTTTTTTTTTTTTTAATGGCTAGAAGGCTGTCCTGTCACTACAAATATTGCTGCCGTGCTGAGATGGCTATTTTTCCTCATTAGTAACAGTTCCAAAAGTCATTAATACAAGCTAGTTAATATCTGCCACAAGAAATGAATTATACTTTTCATAGCATTTGACATTTCATCTCACTGCTGTTTAAGTGTTAGTAATTAAGTGTGCAATAGCAAACTGCGATCTAAAACTTCAGTGTATGTCATCCAGTTCTGTACATCTGTCTACAGGCACGAGTTGTAAATTTACTTTAAGTCAGGAGCAGGTTTATAAACATGAGCTTTAAAAAAACCACTGAAGCCTTTTGTAACCTGAAGCCTCAACACTGAGCGCAGTTTCTTTTTGCTTTGTTTTGAAGCGCCATGAATTGGGTAACACCCAGATAGTGGCAAAATCTAAACATTCACAATGTTTAATTCAGTAATGACTGTATACAAGAACTTTTTAATGTGCTATTGCTGTGAATGTGGCACAAAAATATAGGAAATTATTTCATATTAAAATAATTAATATGCCAGAAAAAAAAGAATGTATTTCATCATTAACATTAAGAACTAAAATTCACCTGTAAGATGGTTAGTGGTATCTAACACCATTCAATTACTTTGAAAATGAGTGCTTCAGTGTACTTAGAACACATATCCCTAGGATGCAATAATGCCTTTCAGAGAAATAGGAAATATAGATTGATAGCTGCAATTGTTTAAATTTACCCTTATCTTTGAGAGTCTCTGGAGACAGTATTTCTTTTCTAATTATTTTTTTTTAAATTATTAGCGTGATGATGAGAGTCTCTGGAGACAGTATTTCTTTTCTAATTTTTTTTTTAAAATTATTAGTGTGATGGTAGTTTTACAGCTGAAACTATTCTTGAGCAATATACTAATAGTAGGTTGTGTGTTACTCAGATAATAACTTTTCTAGATTTTATGTATGCAAACAGATATTTTATTTTATTTTATTTTTTTTCTTTGGAATCCTACAAATGTGAAAGAGGACCTAACACACCATGCCATGTTTGGTAACAAAAGTCTATTATTGTATGCTCCTTTTCATTGTTCTTTCCCATGTAAATGAAGAGCAGGCTTCCCTCTGGAGAATCCAAAGCCCTAGGAAATAACTATCTCCACCTGGGATGTGAAGGATTCTGAAATTGCTCTTGCACTATTTTGTCCATATATGCCTGCCTGTGAGAACCTGTGGCACTTACGGGCAAATTTTGGGGAAAGAGGACAGCTCTTGAAGAATCAGCAAATATCTTTTCACTCAGGTCTGACCCTGTGTGGGAGCTCCACTGAAGTAGAACTTAGGTAGCTCATAGTGAAGTAGTTCATGAAATTGCTCTTGCACTATTTTGTCCATATTTGCCTGCCTGTGAGAGACTGTGGCACTTGCGGGCAAATTTTGGGGAAGGAGGACATCTCTTGAAGAAGGAGGACAGCTCTTGAAGAATCAGCAAATGTCTTTTCACTCAGGTCTGACCAAGTGTGGGAGCTCCACTGAAGTACAACTTAGGTAGCACGTAGTGAAGTAGTTCCAAGAAAATGTACTATACTGACCCCAAAGTGTCATCTTCTATGCAGTTGCTGTCTCCTGAGTGGTTTTTCTGGTCACACCTCAAGATGGAGTGACCTGAAGCATAGGCCAGCAGGCTGTAGGAGCTGCAAGCTGTTCATGTGGAGTGCTGCAACTTCAGTGTCCTCCTGCCCATCCAACCCTCCATGTCAAAGACTGCTCTTGACAGAAAGCCAGTTGATAATTTAGAGTTGCAGAGGTCAGCATTAACCATATTTCTGTCCTTTCTTCTTTGAAGGGACTGAAGTGCTGTGTGATTTGTGAAGATGTTAAACTTACTGTCAAAGGCATATTATTTTGTTTGTTTTGCTATCAACTTTGTTTCTTTGTTTCTCATTAGCTGAATATTTTTCACCCATGGGACTATCTGTTGAGTTAAATATAGCACAGGATCTTGGTTAAGTATTTCCACCAAATTATCTATCTGCAGGTGGGAAGTGGAAGTTCTTAGCTGATGTACATTTTGGGACTGAGGTAGGAGGTGGTGTAGTCCCCTCAAAAGCTTTCTCTAGAGAACCTCATCAGTCAAATCAGATTTATGAGCCCACTGACTGCAACTCTGTCAGTGGGGGATCTGAGAAACAAGTAGATGTGTTGAAATAAGAAAAGCCTGAAACATTCTGTCCTCATCATCACTGGCATTGTTTTTACGGCACATCATAGGAAAGTCACCTGGCTCAGTTTTGACCTGTGCAGCAGCCCCTTCTCTACCTTAAAGAGAAGCTCACAGTGGGGAAGTCTCACTACCATGTTTCCTTGCTAGTTTACCTCTTTCAAGCAGACCAGGTTGTGGCTGGCTTCTCTGCCTGCTTCTTTTGACGTACTGAGGTGACCTTCAGCATATGATTGAAGCAGGAAAGAAAGAAATGTTAGAAATATGCAAACACTGAAAATATTTTCATACCCAGATATCCTAATGTATCTGTATCACACAGTTTGTTGTTCATGGCTCAGTAGGCTGCTTGGGTTTAACCTGCCTGCCCGTCTCTTGACAACCTTTCATCTGATTAAACCCATGGAGATCCTAGTATAGAAGATGTTCTACAGGAAAGTTCCCAACTCCGTTTCTGTTTGTCCCTAGGGGACATCTTGTAGGGGGTCACTGCTGTCTGCTATGCTTTCCATACTGTTGAGATGGTGCATCAGGGAGAGGCTTCTTGCTGATGACTGAACCAGGTGACCTTCAGCAGCTTTCTAGTTTATACTGTACAGGCTGCTGTGACGCTTTCAGACCTGTGTCATTGCTGATTGATCCTCTGTGAAGCTGAAGCTATTAATAGTGTATGTATATATTTTTTTAATCTCTCTTTTTTTAAAAAAATATTTTTGTGAGGCCTTCACATTTTTTTGTTATTGCAGGTTTCATTAAGCATGAGGGGAACAACAGGTAGAAAGCATCTAGCTTTTTTCTAAGGAAATAAACCTCTTTCTGAGGAAATATTTTTTTTTCTCATTGCTAGAATTGTTTAAATGGCAAAGACAGTGCAAAGACAAATAATAATAAAGTGCTGAATAAAAGGGTGGGTTTGCAAGATTTCTTGATCAAGAATTCATTGTATGTTCATGGTTTGTAAAAAAAGTTGAAGTTTCTGTGCAGAAAGCTAAGTGGCCATCTAGATGGTGTGGTATCAAGTTAATGTTGGTAATGCAAAAGCAACGCAGAATGGCAGGTAAATGGTGAACTGAAATACTTTACAGGGTGCTGCACTAGCAGTAAATGTTTAGGAAAACATTGATGAAGCCAATTTTGTGAAATTCTCTTCTGATGCTACAGCAGAGGTCATTAAAAAATCAGTAAGATGTTGTGATATGTAGAGATAAAGTGAATATCCTGTGGTATATAAAATCAATGTTCGAGCTTATCTGTGATTCTTTGAAATCACATCTCAGAAAGGGGCATTATAGTTTTAGGAAAACCTCATGGAAAGAAAAAAAAAAGGTTAGGGATCTGAAAAAAACCACATGAAACAGAAGAACCTGCTAATTTTTTATTGCATCAAAAAAGAAGTCTTTTGGTTCAAAAATACTATGTTGGGTAAGAATAATATCTGGGACTATGATAGATATTTCTAACAAACTGTGGTTGTGATGTAAAAATTCAGATATCAAGTTCTAAACCAGTTGGTAACTAGAAAGACTATTTCAAATCAGAACATAGGTTAGCCATCATCTGGCTACTGTTGTTGGGGTTTTTTTGTGTTTTGTTGTTGTTGTTTTTGTTGTTTGTTTTGGTTGGTGGTTTTTTGTCCTAGAGCATCCTGTACTGGCATTGTCAGACATAGGGTACTGGTATGGATGAACCACAGATCTGATCTGATACAGCAGTTTCCACAGTGCTACATTCTGTTTCTTAGAAAATCAGACCTTTCTTTTAAATAGTTGTGAGTGGAAGCTTGAAACTGGCTAAAACCACATAATGGTTAGACCATTAATTTCTATTTTTAAATTAACAGTGTGACAGTTTGGACACGGCACAAATGGGAATGAGTTTTCTTCCTTTCCCCTCAATCCATCCGGCTCTTCGAAATAAGGCTTTTAGTATCTGCTGTGTAATAACTTTGTGTTTCCATATGAATGCATTCTGCTTTCCTGCAGAAAGATTTTCTTCATGCCTTTTAAGATCTCTGTTGTTTTATCCTTACAGTAGCTGGTAGGTGTTCTTATGAAGGGTAAAATCATAGGAAAGTAATTTAAGGAATTCTGACAATAAATTAGGATGACTGACATTAAGTGTACCATGCATTTAGCAGTGAAGAATATTGGTAAATCAGTAGGCTCTTTAAAGCAGGGTAGACAGATTTT